TATCGTGAATTCAGAAATCAGACGCCTGCGTGAGCTTGCCGCCACCTGCTGTTAAAACATCCTGTCCGCCTGAGGGTCTCTCTTAGAGAATATATATATTTGAGGGAAGGATCTAAATATGCCGGACTGAAGGAAGAAGCCTATAGTGGAATTTATACCCCACATATCTTTGGGGAATACGGCCTGCGCATTTATATCCGTTTGTGAATATTTCTGTTTTCCCCATATAGCCTTTTGGGGAATATTTATTTCAAGAAGCACCTGACTAGTTGAGACTTCGGTTTAAAGCTCTTGCTTTCCCATAAGACGTGGACGAAGAACAGGCTCAGCTGGGCCATGCCCGGCGGCACTGTTCGTAGGAAACGTTTGGGTGGGCTGGGGGGGACAATACTACGGTGTAAGGCTCACCAGCCTCCAGCTCAACTTGGAAAATAAAGAAAGAAGTTTCATGTGAAGACTTCGGTCTTCTTGCTGTCCATTGAAAGAATTTTGGAAGAAAGTTTTCATGAAGATGTAAGGTTGTTATCAGAGTTTTCCCATCAGTCTGTTCCGACTGCAGAGTTCAGGCTCAGGAGATGAGAAAATTTTGTTACTAGGGGACTAGTTTCACAACCAGTTTGTGACGCATTGAGCTGATTTAGGCTACGACCGAGCTAGTTCCATAGCCGGAATAAGAGCCTGTAGCGGGTGGGCAGCCTCGCGGCCCATGGACAGCCATGAGTGGCACAGGTCTCAGTTGGCCCGCGCTCGTGCAGCCCTACCGCAGTAGACTTGGAGAGTGGTTTGGCACACCTGAGAAGCTCCATGCATCGTTCGACACAAAGGGGGAGTTAGTTCACCTTCTTGCATCGTGTGACCATACCCTGTCAGAATCAACACGAGACATGATTGCTGATGCACTGCTTGAGTGGCAGCGAGATACTCTAAGCATTGTCTTGAATGGGCGCAGGGAGGCCAGAAGGCGTCTTACAGAATCCCTGTCCGGGTCTGGGTCTTCCCAGATCAGCTTGCAGCAGCATTACAATCAGATNNACTTTGCAAAGCCCGCTTGCTCTGCTTCCAGCGTTGAGAAAGCGCAAACTTGCCGTTGAGAGAGCGGTCGATCGGGGAGCCAGGGCCACTGAAGAAGCTCGGCTCAAGAAGGAGTACTCACTTCGGCTCGCCGCGGTCATACAGGAGGCCAAGCTGCCAGTGTGCAAGGTCTTAGCGGGTGTCAGTGATGCAGAGGAGGCTTGGGCTCGCTTGTTCGGTACGCGCCGATCCAAGACACTCCGTAATCGCTACCGCTCTTGGGATAAGTTCCGGGAGTGGCTTATCTTCAGCCGAGGGAGGTTTTACCCGGAGGGGGTTGCAGATGTTCTTGATTTCGCAGCCGAGAGGTTTCGCGAGGGCTGTGGCAAGACGGTGCTAGACAGTTTTCAGGCGGCATTGAGTGTCGTCGAGACGGTAGGTCGTGTGCCGGAGTCTTGCCAGATATCGCAGGACCCCACTTGGCAGGCACAGCTCAAGAGTTACACAGCCGACCTGAAGTCGGCCGCACCTCCGGAGCAGCCGGCTAGCATGTTCACCACTGCCATACTTGTGTCGCTTGAGATCTTCATTTGCACTCGGGGCCTGCCAGCTTACCTCAGGGCATTGGGGTTCGTCTGCTTGCTTATGGTGTGGGGTTCTCTCCGTGCGGACGATGTTCAGGGGCTGCTGCCTCAGACCATGACATTGGATGAGCGCGGGCTCTCCATCGAGCTCGCCAGGTCAAAGACGACGGGCCCCGACAAGAGGACGCATACGGTCAAGGTCTTCGTAGAAAGGCATGTTTCTCTTACAGGGCATGATTGGCTTAAATGCGGTTTTGATCTTTGGAGAAACTACGACTTCCAAAGGGACTATTTGGTCATGAAGGCCAGCGAGGATTTCACTGAACCGGTTGAGAGGCAAGTCACTTCTGCTACCGTTGCTCTTTACGTCCGCAAAGTCTTGAGTGAGCTCAAGACCCCGAAACGAGAAGGAGGCGCGTGGAAGACCAATGATCAGCGCCCTTTGTTGCCAGGCTTCCTCGCAAGCCACTTCACAGGACATTCAGCAAGGAATTATCTCAGTTCTGTGGGGGCGGCAATAGGAGAGGACCCCCGGGAACTAGATTATTTGGGCCGTTGGAAGGTCGGGGGGGAAGGTTCTGCGACCTACGTTCGTACATCAAGGCAGGTTGTTCATCGCTTGCAATTGCATATCGCTCGAGCACTTGTGATGGGGCAGCCAAAGCACTATGTTGAGCTAGATGCCATCAAAGCCCTGACAGATTATGCGGCCCGTGCAGGCGAGAGTGAGTCTCAGATCCGCCGCAGGCACAGTATCCTTGAGGGATCAAAGGGGATAGGAGGGCCGTGGCCCACATTGGAGTTCCCAGAAGCTCCAGCGGCACCACCGTCGCCGGGAGCTCAGGAGGTTGCCGCGGCCCGGCGCGGACAGTACTTCGTGGTCACTTCGCGCACCACGGGATTGAAGCGTCTTCACATGGTCGGCTGCTATGTGAAGCCCGAGAATTGCTATAATGTGAATTTTGTAGACTATGTCAACGCAGAGGACGTAGACTCCATTTGCAAGGATTGCAAGGCTAGGATGAAGGCTCAGGCCGGTCAAGAGGATTCAGATCCCTCCAGCAGCGAGTCAGACAGTGATTCAGTTTGAAGGCGGGGAAAACAACAGTCGTGCCATGCAGTAGTCAGCTTTCAAGTCAAGGCGCCTCAGGGCATTTGCGCGGAGTAGACATTGTCCTTCATACGGCTGTGAGTGCCTTTCGCCTTCTTCTGCATCGAGTCATAGCCAAGCTGAGTGTGTGAATTGGCGCGTGTTCAAGCAGTGGGGACCCCCCCCTTGTGTCTTTTGGCGCAGACCGCAGGGTGCCAAACTAAACCGTGCAGCATAGCCACAGGCCTCAGGGCGGCTATCGAGCTCAGGAAACGACACTGGCCTAAGGGCGTGGTTTCATCAGCAGCTTAGTGCCACAGGCTTCAGAGCGGCAGGCGCGTGTGGTAGTGGTGCAAAACTGGCACCTGGAGCCATGGCAGCGGTTACTGATGCTGCAAAGCGTGAGCTTGTGACGAGTGCAGACAGCGACCTACAGTTTGTGTTGGGTGAAGCGGCCCTTTCCTTGGATGCTCAGTACAGGGTCGTGCAAAGGCATACCACTTTGCGAAGGTTCCAAGCAATAGCGGATACGAGAGCAGAAGCCCGCGCGGCGGGCAAAGCAGACTTCGGGTTAGCAGATGACACGCCGGAAGGCCGCCAACAGATCGCGGGGATAGTGGCCGCATGGGAGCTCGCACGGGATGTCATCAGCAAAGAAACCGAGACGCGGGCTGAGGCGAAAGTGCTTGGGCAACCGCGCATCCTTCAGGTGACCGAGAGGCAAGCAATGCTCAAGGCAGTGGTTGCAGTTTATGGGCAGTTGGGTGAATCCGAGACCCCTTCACCAGAGTACTTGGCAATCAAGTGTGAGGAATGCGAATCTAACGAGCCTCATGCATCGACTTTGGATGCCATTACTTCGAAGAAGAGCACACTTACCACCAGCATTCAATCCACATTGGATGCGTCCGGTCGCATTCACATCACCCAGCAGAAGGCGAAGAGCGAGCTGCCCACAACAACCGAAGCCTATCGCAAGGTTCTCAGGGTTGAGGCTTTTACATGGCTTTGTATGGCATCCCGCTTCAAATCCAAGCAGTGGCTTCAGGACTATGAGGGTCCGCCAAGGTCCGTTTAAGCGGGTTTTCAGGTATTTGAACCCCTCTTAAGACCCAACCTAAGGCGAAAATGCATTTTTCTATTAAGTTGGGTACTAGGAGCCGGACTGTCATATTCAGGACCTCAAGCTCGCCGACTTTGAGCACTTTGTGAACTACATCCTCGGGGAAAAGGTGGCCCAGCTTACGGTCCCGACTTTGCATCAGCCAGCCGATGTGCCATCGCTCACCCCTCCGTGGGATGTGGTTCTTGCGTATGAACATAGGCTTCGGAAAGAGTCTTTCAGGCTTGTCAACGAGGAGGGCTACACGCTCTCAGCTGCCCTTGCTTATGTGATTACCTCAGCTGAGCTCAAAGAAACATACTTCACTACCCCGCTGGCTCTTTCGGTCATTGAGCGTCCGCGTAAGTGGCAAAAGGGAAAGGGCAAGGATTGGAAAGGCGGGGGAAAGGATGGAAAGGGAGGCAAGGGTGGAAAGGATGGAAAGGGCGGGAAAGGCGGCAAAGGTGCCGCTGATCCTGCCTTGAAAGGCTTGCAACTTGTTTGGCGCACTCCCGAGGGCCGTGACATATGCTTCGCCTTCAATTCACAAGGCTGCCAGAACCCCAAGTGCGAACGCCTGCACATTTGTAGGGTCAAAGGGTGCTACCAGGATCACTCAGCTCGTGAACACAAGCAGAAGGTTGGCAAGGCCAAGGAGTGACTATCGCACGGTCATTCACAGCTAGTTTCTACCGTTGAGACGTCAGAACACATGGCATATCAACCGCAAATTTACAATCCTTCAGGTTTGCATGTGCTTTACATCTTCGCTGGCCCCCATCGCAAAGGTGACGTGGGCTCTTTTCTCCACGAACTTGGACATGTGGATACTCTGCTTCAGTTTGATCTTCAGAGGTCTTCGGAACATGATCTGAGCAAAGAGGGGCTGTGGCAACATGTATTTCAACTTCTTGGTGAAGGGGAGTGGATCCTCATCGCCTCACCTCCTTGTGAGACCTTTTCCAGGGTACGTCATCGCCATCCGGGGCCCAAGCCCCTTCGCTCTTCATTTTATCCACGGGGTTTTCCTTGGCTTAGTAACATTCACCTTCAGCAGGTCGAGCAGGCAAACTATTTCATTGACCAGACCGTCACGGCTTGTCAACTTGCATGGCAATATTTTCTTGAGCATCCAGAGGACTTGGGGGCTACCGTAGACCAGGAAATTCCTGCTTCCATTTGGCAGTTCCCAGCTATCCGCGAGCTTCAGGTGGCGACTAAGGCCGTCACTTTTGCTGTGTTCCAATGCGCTTTCGAAGCGCCCACTTCGAAGCCCACCAGATTCCTGACCAACCTGTCAGCATTTAAGCAGCATCCGCCTCCTTATGCCACATGGCCACGTTTTGACTCAGTGCATAGGTACGTAGGACCCTTGCCACCCCGATGCCCACATGGCAAGCATGATCAGGTGCTGGCCGGCCGACAAGGCCGTGTGTGGGCCACAGAGGCTTCTGCAGCTTATCCTTCTTTGATGTGCGAGTGGATCGCNNCATGCTGTGCTCTCCTCCGCTGCGCAGGGGGGGTTCGAGTCGGCATCGCACAGCTCCGAGGCGAAAGGTCCACAGGCGGTTGTAGATAGGGTAGAGGCGGTTGGTTCCGAGGCGGTTGATTCTTCCGAGCATTCCCCCTTAGAGGCGGTTGGTTCTTCCGGGCAGTCCGAGGCGGCATCATCGGCCCACGCGCGGCAGGAGGTCGCTCAGGCGGTTGTAGGTAGTTTAGAGGCGGGTGGTTCGAAGGCGGTTGAAGCGACTACAGGTGAACCGATGGCGGTTTCAGATCCGCCAGCCGCGACTTCATCAAAGCCTAGAACTAAGGCGGAGGACTTCGCAGCTTTCATCGCCTCTTCCAGGGTTCCCACTCGCCCTGAGTTGTGTACTTTGTTCAGGCTCCTCCCCCACGAGACGCCGCCGCGAGCCTCGATGAGCTCCAACTTCGCACCGAGCAGCTTCACCACAGGGTTGTTTAGGAAGGGTGGAGGTTTGATAGGTCTTAGGACTGCTTGCCGCAAGAATCCACTGGCTACTGAAGCCATCGCTTCCTTTGTGCGAAAGCACATGCCGGGCCATCCATTCACCACGGTCAGCTTGTATTTTAACACCGGTACGGAGCCCCACCGGGACAGCCGGAACGCGCACATTCCTAATGGCATCATCGCCCTTTCAGATTTCAAAGGGGGTGAAGTCTGGGTTGAGTGCGAGGGCGGACCTTCGGTTCAAGTGATTGACGGCAAACGAATGGCAGGCCAGATCATGCCGATCACGGCGGAGCCAACATACATCCACGCTTATCGCGATCTTCACTTCACTCTTCCTTGGCGGGGCAAAAGACTTGTGATCATCGCCTTCAGCGTGCCAGAGCATGAACAAGCGGTGCCAGAAGATCTGGCCATCCTTAGGGAGTTAGGCTTTCTCTTACCGGGTGATCCCCCCTCCAACACCGTAGACGGGGCTGAGGCTGCCTCAGAGGCAGAAGCCAGTAGCAGTAGCGGGGAGGATGCCATAGGTTCGGTTCGGTTTAGGCCCCACGACTGCCATAACATCGGTCCCCCTTTAAGCCTTGAGTGGGATGGTAAAATGG